GGGGGGGGGAGGAACTGGGCAGGCTTGTAGGACGATGCATGGTTGGTTGACGATGCATGGAGGGGACTGTAACCATGGCAATGAAACGATATACAGTAGGATGAATGTAAAGCTAATGTTCTGCCATGTAAATGATCACATAATTCACAATAAAACATTAAAAAAAACAAAACCCAGCTCCTCTCCAGGAGCTCCTTTTTTGCTGCATTTTGGAGAGTACCAGTACTGTCACCTCACCTGTTCTTAATAAAGATACCCTGCCTGGTGGCCCCAGTGCCTACCCCGAGAAGGGACATGACAATTATCTACTCCCCATCAGTAATGTAACAAGAACTGCCGCCTAAAGAACACACAAAATATCCAGTTTTCGGCCAATGCTGGCCAGAAGGATGGAGGACATTTATGAATGAATTGGAGGCATGTGGCCTCCTGGGTTTGGAGCCAGAGCTAGCAGACACCCACTGTTTTAAACTGCTGCAGGGAGCCAGGAAGGGATGGGAGTTGGCAGGAAAGCCCCATCTTATGCGCCCAACTCACCAGACACCTTCTGTCAGTGGGAAACCAGCCTCAGGGAAGGGGGGAAGAGGGGAAGGGGATCCTAAACCAGCTGATGGCAGCCCCATGTGTGTCATAGCTGAACTCTGCAGGGTTTCCAATGGCTGGTTTCTCAGAAGTAGATCACTAGGTCTTTCTTCCAGGCACCTCTGAGGGGATTTGAACCTCCAACCTTTCTGTTAGCAGCCATACACCATCATAATAAGAATTTATCTATGCATTCTGCAACCCATTTAGATCTATTTCAGCTTTCTGGCAATCCCTGAAGATTTACTGGGACCCAGGAAGGGTACCAGCACTCATCTCTCAGTTTGTCACACTGTGGTTGCTGTAATGTTGGAAGCTATGCCATGGGCATTTCACATAACAGCAGTCACTATTGTGAACAGATTTCAGTGGGGCTTCTGAACTAAGGCAGACTAGGAAGAAGGAGAGATGGACTACTTCTGAATGCTTGTTGTTGTTAAGTGCCTTTGAGTCAGTTCCAACTCATAGTGACCCTGTATAAGGTTTCCGAGGAGCAGCTGATGGGTTTGAACTACAGACCTGGTGGTCTGCGATCCTGTGCTGATCCTACAGTGCCACACCACCACACCAGAAGTCCACTGAAAGTTTCATGAAGAGCAGCAGAACACAGCCACATAGAGCGCTGGGAGATGAGTCCCTCAGATTGGAAGGCACTCAAAATACAACTGGGAAGAGCTGCCTCCTCTAAGTGGAGCTGACAATGATGACCTGAGTGAACTAACGCTTTAAGGAACTTCACTACTGATGGGGCACAACCCAAAATGAGGAGAAACAGCTAAAACGGACATTAATAATCTGAACATGGAATGTATGAAGTATAAATCTAGGAAAATTAGAAGCTGTCCAAAAACAAAATGGAGCACATAAAGACTGATATCCTAGGCATTAGTGAGCTGAAATGGACTGGTATTAGGACTTTTTTTTTTATCAGACACTATGCCAGGAATGACAAACTGAAGAGAAATGGCATCACATTCATCATGAAGAAGAACATATCAAGATCTGTCCTGAAGTACAACACTGTCTGTGATAAGATAAGATCCACACACCTACAAGGAAGACCACTTAATACACTATTATTCAAATTTTGCACCAACCACTAAAGCCAGTAATGATGAAATTGAAGAATGTAACCAACTTCTTAAGTCTGGAATTGATCCAACATGCAATAATCAAGATGTATTGATGATTACTGATGATTGGAATGCAAAGGTTGGAAACAAAGAGGAAGAAGGATCAGCAGTTGGAAAATATAGCCTTTGTGATAGAAATGATGCTGGAGATCACATGACAGAATTTTCCACGACCAACGACTTATTCGTGGCAAATACTTTTTCAAACAACATAGAAGGTGACTATACACATGACCCTCAAAGGAATCAAACTGACTACATCTAATTGGGAAGAAACAGCAGGAGAAGTTTAATATCATCAGCTAAAACAAGGGCAAGGGCTGACTGTGGGACAAACCATCAATTGCTCATACGTAAGTTCAGACTGAAACTGAAGAAGATTTAAAAAGTCCA